AATCTAATCTAATCTAATCTAATCTAATCTAATCTAATCTAATCTAATCTAATCTAATCTAATCTAATGATATATCAGGATCTATGCTTGCCTCACCTTACTTAACAGCATTAATGGCGTATTTCTTTCATTTCTACTGTTCAAATTCCCGGAGCTGGCTGGTGTAGAATGAAGTGAGGTTGAGCTCACAGGATGAGAGCTGTATAGATCGAGCATCTTTTAGAGTATTACATGTTTGTTTATGATATTAAAATAGTATTACTTCCCTCTTCTTTATCCCCCGAGCCATATTTCCTTGGGTCGAGATTCAATGTCATTATAGGCAAGCTGGCGTACTCTTTATTTCCCAGGAAAGGGCGGGTGGAACGGATTCATAACTTGGCCACATCAGACACCGAAGGAGGGTCGCCTTTGGTTTCCTCGACTGTTGAATTGTGCGAAGACGATATCGGCTAACTATCTTACGAGTCAGATCCAAAAGAGCTGGGCTTTCTTCTGCCAACTGACTAACCTCCATAAGGTCAGAAACCATTATTTATGAAAAATCCACTAAAAACACTAAACCTTACTTCTTAAACTATTAGATAGTTAATCCAGCATAAGTCGATTAATGGACTCTTAGAAGCTCAGCTTCTCTTTATAGTATTGGCTAGCACCAATCACCATGACACTGAATGTATCCTGGGCATGAGTTCTATAAGAGTGGGTCCTGCTTGCATCACCTCGTCTGGACGGTTATCCTCCGATGAGGTTGGGTTCGAGTCTCATCTCGAGTCCTGTTTAATAGAAGAGTGGAGTGGAGTGGATCAGAGATGGTACGGTATTTTCGTGTGGTGAAGACCTGCCCTTGCTTCCCTGATACCTAGCCCGAGTCCAGATCCCTTAATTTCCACACACACACACACACACACGCACAAACATTTCGGCCTGCCTTCCTAGCAAATCTGCCCCTCTCGTCAACAGCACGTCTGGCGATTTGGCTATCAATTTTGTGCCGACACTTCGTGCATAACAAAAAACGCTACTTCCTTCTGAACTCACTCGTGTTGCTTCGATGCTTCTATCATGCCATGCCATGGCCATGCAACCCGTCGAATCGACAGCTCTCCTAACGAGTATGAGCTAGACGTTATTGACAGGCGTGTGTGAGTATGTGTGTGTATGGGTGTATCAGTGTTCCCTTCTAGCGTAATTTTCCTATGACGTCCCGTTGAATTGATTGCCTTGTGTGTGTTTGTGTGTATGTGTGTGTTGTGTAGAGGGTCCATCAGGGCAATTTAGCTCTGGCCCATACAAACCGGTGAGGAAGTGACATCTGCCAGTGCTCACGGTTTTCCCAATTGGGTCGTTCCATCGCCTCAGCGGTCACTTCTGGCAACTCATCACCTGCGAACTGTTCCGGCCGACTCGGTCCTTGGTCCGAGTCTGTGCCATTCAAGTCGTCTTCTGATGGAGTTGAGGCTCGACGGGCGAGGCAGAAGAGATAGCACAATGGACTGGCCCGAGAAACTGGCCTTCTGTGGACAGACGGCACAGATGGTGGCATCTGCCGATGGTACCGGCAGCTGAAACTGTAGGCAAAAGGTGAAATGTTGGGATGATTGCGTGCAAAAGGGAGATTATTCACCAGTCGACTTGGTGAAAATAGCAGTCCATTGTCGGGACGGAGTAGAAGAAGTCTGAAAAAAAACGGAGAGAAAAAGGTTAAAATAAGACGAAAAGGGGCAAAGGAGTCTCTTGGTACCGGAGTAACCGGCTGGTGAGTACTCCAGACCCGAGCATGTCGACGTTTACCCTGAATCCTATCTCTTTGTTTTTGGTGTGTTGGAAGCAGAGAAATCCGGACGAACGGACGGGTGGATGGGTACTACAATTGGCCGATGGGGTCAAGCCTAGTCTGTCTGTCGGAAGGTGAAGACTATGAGTTCGTGCTTTGTGTTCACTTCCAGTCCTCATCCGAGTCCCCCCCCCACCGCCCCCTCCCCCCATAGCATCGTTCACTTTGGAGGAGCGCTGAGCTGTCGAAGCGGTTGTGCAATACTTGACAAATGGGACGACTTCGTGTTTCCGACGCCGGCTGGAGTCTTCGGATTTAGCCAAAAAAACGCATTTTCTTTTTCGTTTCCAAGTAGACTTTCGAGGCTACCAGTAGATCACAAATATGAGATGTATTTATCCTATTTAGTTTAGGGTGAATTTTCCCACAATTATCTGAGTAGACATGACGTTTCTATTCAATTTCACATGTATTTCCTTTTCCAAAAGGTATCCTCATCCAGGCTGAGGTGAAATGCTGTTGAGACCCCACCTAGGTCTTACCAACAATCCCGGCTGGACTCGAACCATGAGAGTACAGCGTATAATTTCGACACGTTAGTCACTGCGTCACATTGCCATAAGCGACCTTGGGCACATCTGCCCCGTTACCCAAAGGCCCTCGTAGCGATGTGGCATAGTGATTAACGTACCGAACTTATACGCTGCACCGTCATGGTTCGAGTCCCGCCGGGATGGTTGATACGGCATAGGCAAGGTTTAAACTGCAGTCCACTTCAGCCTGGAGGAGAATACCTTTTAGAAAGCAAGGTTATATGAAATCTAATTGAAAAGTCATGTATACTCAAATGCTAGTGGGAAAATTCAGCTAACAGTCCCTCTATCACCCTAAACGAAATATGATGAATACATCTCATGTAAACACATCCTCGTCTGCGTCCTATCTGCGTCCGATTGGGTGGGTGAGGATTTGAGTGATTAAACGATATAGCGAGTACCAGACATCGACACGGGATTGACGAGATCATTTCATCACGCGTCTCAATGTCACTTCAAACTTGTCTCGTCGTCTGATCAGCATCGGCGGCGCGGTTCGAATTTGATGAGTATGCAGTTCCACACGTTCACGATTCAAGCCCCGGTCAGTAGGTTTTGATGAGACTGAATTCATTCACAGGCAAGCGAGGGAACATTTATTGCCGAAATCAAAGCTCTTATTTACTCCAAGATAAAAAGCCTCTCAACATTCGAGAAATGGTGATTGAACACAAAAGGGTTTATGGAGACTGGTGGGTTTAAACAGCACAGCTAGCAGGGCATACGGCAGAAATTGAACATGAAATTGAATCGTCCCATATTTAGCGTGTTACTACTTATACTTTTGTAAGAAAGTAGGGTTTCGAGACTACCAGTAAATCATTGTAATGAGATGTATTCACCCTATTTCGT